AAAACTATTATTAACTAATAAAATAATAAGTAAACTGAGTGGGCCTAACAAAGTCTCGTCTGGTATTAACAATAGCCGATACAATGCAATTACAAAGAAGTGATCATTGGAATTCTCTTTCACACTGAGTAACTTTAAGGTTAAATGCTCATTTTGGTCCCTCAATTTTATTAGTTTGCACATTTTTGGTCATTAAAGTATTTTGTGCATATTTTTAATCCCTCAATTCTAAAAAATGCATAACGTTTATCCTTCCATCACTTAGGGCCATTAACTTCGCCTATGTGAATTTTTTATTTTTTATTTTTTATGATATGACGAAAACAACTTAAAAAGATGATGATCTAGACATTTTTTTGATGACATGTTCAACGCTAACTCATATATCAAATTAGATTAGTATTTATATATTTAATAAAAAATAAAAACTACAAATTTACCTTAATACCCCTATCTCCCTTTCTTGATCCATCTTTTTCCTCTCTTTTGATCCCTTAACTCCAAAAAATGCATAACGTTTGTCCTTCCATCACTTTGGGCCATTAACTTCGCCTATGTGGCATTTTTTATATTTTTTTTTATGATATGGTGAAAACAACTTAAAAAGGTGATGATCTAGACATCTTTTTTTATGACATGTCCAACGCCAACATATATCAAAGTAGATTAGTATTTATATATTTAATAAAAAATAAAAACTATAAATTTACCTTAATACCCTTTCTTGATCCATCTTTTTCCTCTCTTTTGATCCATCTTCTTCCTTTCTTTCTTCCTTTTCCTCCTCTGTGTTGTTGGGTTCCCTCAAACCCAGCTGATCTGGGTTTAAGGGAACCCAGCTCGAGTTTGATGGAACCCATCTATTGGGTTTCCTCAAATCCAGCAAACTAGGTTCCTTCGAACCCAGATCTGCTGGGTTCGGTGGAGCCCAGGCTGGGTTTCGTCGCACCCAAATTTGTTGGGTTCTGTCGAACCTAGAACCCAAATTTGCTGGGTTTGAGGAACCCAGCTCCACTTTTTTTTTTTTTTTTGTTATATATTTGTTGCGAAGAGTTTGTGCAAATTGCAGGTTGTGAGGGATTTTTGGGATCCTTTTGCTAAGTTTATGCAAATTGCAGGTTGTGAGGGATTTTGGTGATCCTTTTGCGTCATATTTTCTAATTATTGTCTAAATGATTTTAATGTTCAAAATGGAAAGAACATCGCCGGCGATGGAAGGAACAGAAGCAATGACTGATGGGCAAAGAAGCAATTTTTAGTGGGTTTTCATTTGTTTGGCTAGAAAATTGTACAGTTTGGGTGTTTGGCTGCTGAGAAAATGGTTTCAATCTGTTAAGAAAATTTGATGAGAAAATTGTGATTTAATTATAAATTAATTTAGAATCTCAATTTTGATTAACATAAGTAATTATAATTTAATGATGATTGATTAGTGAAATCTATGAAAAATCTTTCGAATCACCCTCTAAGAAAATCTTTGCAATTTCAAAGAAAATCTGGGTTTGGGTTTGAAGAAAATCTATATTCTGTAAGGTTTTAGATTTTTTTTATTGCTGAAAGAGAAACCCAAAAGACATCTTTCTTTAGGTTTTTGCAGGCAACGTGGGATCCATTGGAGGCGCTTTGGCGTAAGAAGATGACATGTTTTAAAAAAAAAGTCAAAATCAATACTTTTTTAAGTTGTCTTATCCATGTCATCAAAAAAATATAAAAAATGGCATGTGGGCGGAGTTAACGGTCTAAATTAACGGAAAGACAAACGTTGTGTATTTTTTAGAGTTGAGAGAAAAAAAATGTATACAAAATACTTTAAGGACCAAAAATGTGTAAACTGATAAAATTGAGGGACCAAAATGAGCATTTAACTTAACTTCAAAATATAAGTCTAGATTTCACATTATCTTATCAATGATGTGCACGTTCAGTCGCATAGGATACAAATTAACAAAACTATCGTTTTTGACGGCTATCATGGTGCCCTGTTAATTCAAATCCAATATGATCTTAGATGACGAGAGTGATCTCAAGGACATGATGTTTGTTATGGTATTTGGATGGACGTCAGAAATTTTAAATT